TTTAAATAGAGGAATGTCAGCTAATGTAAAACAAATGATAAATTTAGAAAAACATAATTGACCAACTGATTATATTATGACTTTGTCTTCTTAAAAAAATATTTTTATTGATTTTAGAGAGAGGGAGAGGGAGAGAAATGTTAATGTGAGAGAGAAACATTGATTGGTTGCCTCCTGTATGCACCCTAACTGGTAACTAAACCTGAAACCTGGGCATATGCTGTGAGTGGAATCAAGCCGGCAAACCTTCAGTGCAAGGTTCTCAATTTTTTTTTTCCCTGTTAATCTCCATCTGAGAATATTTTTCCATTGATTTTTAGAGTGAAAGGGAAGAGGAGAGGAGGAGGGATAAAAGAGACACATTGTAAATCAATTGTTTGCTTCCCAAACATGCAACCTAGGTACATGCCCTTGACCAGGAATCAAACACATGACCTTCAGTGTGTGGACTGATGCTCTAACCACTGAGCGCATTGGCCAGGGCAGGTTCTTAATTTTTTATATTAAAATGTTGTTTCTTCCCCCCTCTTTATTGAGGTATACTTGACATACAACAAAATTTACTCATTTCCAGTATACAGTCTAATGAGTTTAATGATCAAGACACAGTACACTTCCATCATCCCAAAGTTCCCTGGCCCCATTTTAGTCAACTCCCCTACCAACCTCCTCTGTCCCCCAGGTCAATCTCAGAAATACACTGATTTGCCTTCCGTCATTAGTTTTGCATTTTCTATTACTTATGAACTTTAAAATAGTAGAGAAGAGTTGCCAACCTGCCCTGGCCAGTGGTTCAGTTGGATGAAGCTGTCCAGTACACCAAGAGGTTTTGGATTTGATTTCTGCCCAGGGCACAAACCTAGGCTGCAGGTTTGATCCCTGATCAGGGTGAATACAGAGGCAACTGTTTCTTTTTCCTTCCCTCTCACTTTCTCAAATCAATATACATCCTCAGGTAAGGATAAAAAAATTTTTTTTTTAAAAGTTGCTATCCTCTCCTACAATTCTTTAGGAAATTTACTGGTCTGTGAATTCTCAAAGTCTGGCCACCATGGGCTCTAACAGTATTTGTTTCTCTGGAGTTGGCGTCCTGAGATGAAGCTAACATGCCCTGTGTTTCCTCTCCTGCCACCAATCCCAGCCCTGGCTTGTGGGGGTGGAAATGTTCAGCTAAGAAGCTTATGGACTTTGGGGCAAGGTTATCATCTCAGGGGTTGATTAGGGCAGATGCATGAGGAAAGCTGGTACACTCTGCTGACCAACAGCTACAGAATGAAAGCCTTGTTCCTCACTCAGGGCCTTCGTTTTACTGAAGTGGAGTGCTTGAGAAGTTTGAGGCAACTCTATGGAAAGTGCCAGAGAATGGGAGCTTTTTAAAGCCACCTTAATTGCAATATGCATCTTAGTCAATGGACCTGGGGAATAGAGGGCTGTTATGGGTTGGGCTGCTTATATCTGAAATCAGTGAGCCTCAGAACCCAGGACTCGTCTGGGGCTGTTTATACAACATGCTCCTGTTGCATGGAGATCTGGAGCATCATGTATGTTCTCAGCACGTTGCCTCGAGATGGACATTTGAAATCTGTCTTGGGGTAGGACCCTAGGGTGCCCATGAGAAATAAGCACCTGTGTTCTAATGATAACAGTCACTTCTGGAGATTAGATTAACTTGGAGAGCAGCAGAGTGGAGTATGGTTTCCTTCTAACAGTTTTCTCACACTTCATGCTTTTCCAAAGAAAGGTGGTAATGATTTCCCCATCCCTGAAAGCATTCAACAACTTCTTGTGGCTGTTGTAGAAGACATCCAAGCAAGAGATAGGGTTTAGACTAAATGCTTTTCAAGGGTCTCTGCCCACTTGGGATTTCATTTTTAAAAATATATTTTTATTGACTCCAGGGAGGAAGGAAACATCAATGATGAGAATCATTCATGGACTGCCTCTTGCATGCCCTGACTGGGAATTGAGATGCAACCTGGGCATGTGCCCTGAGCAGAATTGAACTGTGACCTCCTAGTTCATAGGTCGATGTCCAACCACTGAGTCACACTGGCCAGGTCAGAAACAGTGGGTTTCTGCAGCCCAGCAGTCTTGTATGAGGTGCTTTATCATGGCCACTCTCCTCTCTGGATGCCCCATATGTGATGAGTTTCAAGTCTACATTTTAAAATGTCCAGCTCCCCAAGAACACAGTTGTGAAAACACAGGCAGCTCTGTGAACCTTGGCATACTCCGTGGTCTGGAACTTCCCCCCCACCCACTCTAGCCCCATGGCCACACAAAACGTCCCACGTGCCATGACGTGAAGATCAGAGTGCCTTTACAAGACTCTTAGGATAAAGGCAAGTGTGCGCAGTCTGTGCCTTAATAAGACATCACACTTGATTTACTACACTATTGTGGGAAATGACCTAGGAAATAGTCCATTAAAATGTTTTTAAATTCTCAACTTCTGACATGTTAATGCGTGCATAAAAGCTGACAACACTGACAAGGGAGCTCACTAGTTATAACCACCCAGGAGTCCTTTGCCCATCTCCCACCCTCCAATGGAACCAGTAGCACAGGTAGGGTCCCTGATAACCTCAAAGGTGGCAGGGTGAAGACCATGTGTTGGATGGAAGCCATACTCCACTGCAGTGAGTCGACACTATCAGCACAATCTTGGTGGCCAAGTGACTTGAAAAGCTTCAGTGTGAATGGACCTCAAATTGAAACTTTTTTTTAAAAAGCATAGACAGCAAAAATGCTCCCCTCCAAGTTCAAAGAAAACAGGATAATCAAAGGCCATTGCTACGCTTATTTTGGGTCTCCCTTAAAAATGACCCTTGCCTGATTGGTGTGGCTTGGTGGTTGAGCATTGACTCATGAACCAGGAGGTCATGGTCCAATTCCTGGTCAAGGCATATGCCAGGATTTTGGGCTTGATCCCTAATAGGGGGCAGGTAGAAGGCAGCAGATTGAAGATTCTCACTCATCCTCTCTGAAATCAGTAAAAACATAAAATAATATAAATGACTTCCACTTGCAAAGGGTTTCTTCAGCTTTCTGGAGAGTGCTGCCTGAGATGTCAGATCCTGATGGAATCTTGACTCAAGCTGCTGGGCCGAGCAGAAGTTTGGCCAACTTCTCAGTAAACACAGTGTTGTGATGCAACTGTCTTACGGGGGATTCCAGGGAGATCCTAATTTGTTAATGCACAATGCTGCTTGCTAGGTATCTGAGCTGTCATTTATAAGTCACTCCTCAATGAGGTAATTCATGCTCCTTCAGCAAAGAGGGGGCCTGGAGACACAGAGTTCATGATCAATCCTGTGGACAAAGTCTCCAGAGCAGGGACCAGGAACTTGTCCTGCTGCCTATGGAGCCAACTGCAGGGGTAACAGAAGTGCACGGGGCTTGCAGGACGCAACTGCTCAAATTCTGAAGACACCCTTTTCCTGTTTAAGAATTGCAAATGTCGGGAAGCTGGGATGTTCATATTTATAGGCAGTGACAACTTGGATTTAAATAAACAAGGAGAAAAAAGATACCAGGAAAGTATTTCCATTATTTACAAATAAATAAAAGCAAGGAAAATAAATAAAAGAGCTCCCTCCCCCCCCCTCCTTAGGATAAAGGAGAATAAAAGAACCACCAAGAGACATGGAGCTTGAAAAGTATATAACAGATTTCTTTTTTATTTACAATCAAGTTCTGTTGGGCAACACAGTTAAATAAATAAAAGATATGCCCTGGCCTGTGAACTTCAACTCCCCTCAATTCGAGCTCTCTGAACAGAAAAGCGAAGATGAAGGTGGGGCAAGAGGAAGGGGGAGTCCTGCCCCGTGGGAGGAAAGGCACTCCTCACCCCCCACCCCTCACCAGGCTCCAGCACTCACACCAACATCTGTCCAGAGAGCAAGTATGGGAGGAAACAAATAAAGTGCAAATTAGAAAGTGATAAAAAATATTGGTGTTTCAGTCACCCGAGGAACCAAAATTTTATACACAAGGAAACGGGAAAGAAATGCTCTTAAAAAAATGCCCCAGGCCAGTTTCCCTGGCCTCAATCACAGCTCCTGAACCGGAAGGTGATATTCATTCCCCGCCTCCTGGAATGGGCTTCCTGTGCTCCAGTACCAAGGGCGCTGCACATGGACTCGGCACAGGGGCAGTGACCTGGAGCTGTGGCTCCAGAGATACACCCGAGTACCAGCAGCTGTACCCAAAGACTGGTATGCACCCACTTTTTTGGGACAGATGGGTCTAGGAAGATACCTACTCCCGCAGCACACACACTTCTCTGGATAAAAAGGTTTTTGCATTTCCTCTCAAAAAAATATTTTATAACCAAATTGAGATTTATGTTTTGAGCAAGAAATAGAATGTAGAATCAGGAGCTTTGAAGAACAGTTACTTTCCAAGAACTGTTTTGGAGACCCAAGAAAATTCCAAATGTAATCAGGAGATCACACTGAGAGCTTCAGAATATTGATACGAACCAGTAGGGAGGACGGCAGTCCCATGTCTCCTTGGAAACCAGGGAAGTCCATGTGGGCTACCTGAGGACAGGGGTAATCCTGTTTGGGTATCTGTTAATCCAATGATTAAAGCAAGTTCACCAGGAAAATGATCCAAGGCGACAGGACATGCGTTGGCCAGAACTGACTCTGAAGGGAGAAGGAAGCAGGAGGACACCCCGCACACACACATGTGGGGTGCAGTTGGCACTGCCTGTGCTGCCTTCCCCGCTGAGGTATGGACGGTCAGAGCTAGTAGTGTTTCCCACAGAATGGAGGCAGCGACCCATCTCTGCTAAGTGGCTGCAGAGGCAGCATCATTCCTCCAGGTCATTAGAGACTGCAGCCCAGATCCTCAGAAGTCCTGCTCAAAGGAAAGTCTCCCGGCTGGTTCTTCTCTGGAGGTCTAAGCTACACCCCACACGCCACCTGCCAGGACAGAGCTGCGGCCCGAGTGCTTCTCCAGCTTCGTATCTGTTCTCTCCTGAGGAGACACCATCAGTATTCCGACCACAGCACAGCTTTGCTTCCCTTGTCCACACTGACGATGTGGGAGCCGGAGGGGGACCATGCCACCGCATTGATGGACGAGCTTCAAAGGGAGAGGTCGGAACATCTGTGAGGCCTGAGTGAGCTCGGTACTGGGCTCCTCGCATCTGGGGTTGGGCTTTCTCCTCAGCTGTTTTACTCACCCGCCTGCTCCCGCTCACAGGCAGGCACTTAGTAAAGAGCAGAACAACGAAGGAGGAACCCTGCCCTGTGTTTTAGGAAGCACTTTGGGAATGAAAGGAGCAGGTCCAATCAAGTCTACCCTAAGCGAACAGCTCTGGGTGAATGGAACAGAGAGGGACAGGACGACTGACTGAGGAGTAGAAATTGTCACTGCTTTTGAGGCTCAGAGAGAGGTGGTTGTGGAGGAAGCTGGGACTGTGTTCTAACTGGCAGTTGGGCCTGAGTGGATGGAGCCAAACTAAAAAAAAAAAAAAAAAAAAAAAAAAAAAAAAAAAAAAGGAGCCTAGCTGAAACCGGTTTGGCTCAGTGGATAGAGCGTCGGCCTGTGGACTCAAGGGTCCCAGGTTCGATTCCGGTCAAGGGCATATACCTTAGTTGCGGGCACATCCCCAGTAGGGTGTGTGCAAGAGGCAACTCATCAATGTTTCTGACTTTCTATCCCTCTCCATTCCTCTCTGTAAAAAATCAATAAAATATATTAAAAAAAAGAGCCTAGGGAATGTTTCTCTTTTCTCCAACAGCCACTGTTCTGATTGCGAGAACCAGAAGATTCTGAATAAACATACCAGCAGAGCACTGCGGCCAGCTGCACTGGGGGGCCTGGCTGCTTCTCTCCACTAACTTAGCTCACAGCAGAGCACATGAGTGCACACTGCCCTCGTGGGGCCAACTCAGGTCCATGCCTGAAGAGAGCATGACCCCTGGGATGAAGTCACAGGACCCGCTCACAACCACAGAGGGGCTCACGGGGGTCATCTTACCCATGATGCTTTGAAAGGATCTTCTCTACTTTCCCGGAGAGCACACTCCAGACGTAGACAGAGCCCTCTGCGGAGCCTGCTGCCACATAACTGCCATCAGGGCTGGAGAACACAGAAGACAGGAAATGGTGTTAACCTCTCTGCCCACCCCCCCAACACCCCCGCTTTTGGCATCCTCATGGACCTCCTGGCAAGAAGCAATGTTTAGTCTTCATTTATGAGATAAACATAGGACCAGTCCTATATCCAAAAAATCAGAACTTGACATTCATGACTGTCACACCAAAGCTATTCACTGTTATCTTGGCCTCACTCACCCAATGAAGAATATGCCACTATGTTACTTCTGAGGCCACAAGTCCCTAACTATCTCAGACTCCAACTCAGCACACACAGGGAGATCAAGTCAACCCCTGAATGGCGAAGGGTTTCTTTTTTCTGGCAGACTGCTGGTCCCATGGCTCAGTGAAAGTAGGAAATTGGGAAGAGGAAAGAGAGAAGCATTAACTGTGCAGAAGTTCCTCTGAGATACTGGAACTGTTCCACGAGACTTTCCCACACTTTCCTAAAAGCTCTCAAACAGCTCTTCTCTAAATGCATGGAGAGAGATGAATTTGCTGTGCCCAGCAAGAACCAAGTGGGCAACCAGTGCATTTGGTATAATCACGAAGGAACACTAGGGAGGAAGGACAGTGATAGTGACCTCTAGCACTGAGCCTACAGGTTTACTCGTAGGTGCTCGGCTGAGACACTGTATAAATCTGGCTCACTTTCCCAACGGAAAAATGCCGACGCCTAACCTTTGCGATGAACCAAGCTTGGGGGTGAGGTGGGCAGAAGGAGCATCACCACTAACCTGAACACGACTCTCGTCCAGTCAGAGCCACATTTGAACCCAGGAGCACTGTAACAAACAAGAGGACACCGTCACCATGAGAGCTCAGAGCATTCAGGGTCTGAGAGCAAATTGGGGCCTCTGGTCTCCATGCAACCTTCAGGAGCCCCAAACCAGCCTGGCTTCAGTTACCTAAACGTCTGTCTGATAGCATTTATTCGGAGATCGATAATTTTTAGCAGGTCATCACGGGAGCAGCTTAGGAGTTCAGTTCTTTCTGGATTTAAGTCCAGGGCAGTAATCTTCCCCAACAGCTCCATCTCTCGGATGATAGTCTCTGACCTACCAAAGAGATGGAAAGTCTGAGAAAATGTACCACAGAAATGTCAGATTTCCCCATTTGAACCAGGATGGCATGCCATGGAACAGAGAAGGGGAAAAGGCGAGCCAGCCAGAATGCAAAGCTCTTTCAGGCAGTGAATGTGTTCCCAGCCTTATAAAAATAACACAGGGCTGCTTTTATTATCTTTCCACCAACAAACTCATGGTAATAATTTTGAGAACTAGAACTCTAAATCTGGTAAGAATTCATTTCCCCGTCCACTTTTGGAAACATACGATAGATGCCAATCAGAGCTTCTGATCAGCATGAACCAACCAGGGCTCCTATCCAAATATGGAGGAAGCTGTGCTTTCTCACAGTCTCCCTGCCACATGAAGTTCAGCTCAGGGGCCCTCAACTTCTTGGTGATGCTAATGTGAAACTGGGACTCTGGGGCAGAGTCACCACACTCTGCAAGGCCCTCTTTCTTCACTCTCTAGATTCTCACCTGGGCCCAGTCCGCAGCCAGGCCTGTGAACAAGTCTTGATGCAGGTAAAGGAGGTGCAGACCCTTCTGCAGGCATTTTGGTGTACTAGTAAACGATCAAGGAGATGACTTCCTACCACAAACCATAACTAAGTAAGGGAGTTTTATCTTAGTGTTGGTAAGTATGAGGCTAGAGGCAAGACACTCCACTGCCTTGGAACTTGGGGCCCTCATCTCTTAAATTAGGGGCTATACCAGTAAAACTTGAAGTGATGTCTACGAACCAGGAGCATCACTCCAGGCCTTTCAAAGCCTCATCTATAACCATGCCTCTTCACTTCCCACTCTGTCCACAAATGCTCGACAACTGGGCTTCTGCCCCAGCTGCCATCCCTCCGTTCAACTGGATCACCAACCACCTCCTATCAAACCAGCCTCATCCAACTGGACTCCTCCTGCCATCTGACCCCGTTACCCTCTTAGTCATGGCCCATCCCCGGGACTCTGGCTCTCTTGCCCTTTCTAGTTCCTCCTCCTCAGAAGGCTCCCTAAGTGCTATCTTCTTACTATTTTATGTGTGTCTGAGTAATCTGTTCTCATGCCTCCAAAGTCCTCCTCTGAGGACTTCCAATCTCTTTTAAAAAATTTGCTTTTGTTTTTCCAAATGTCTATTAGAAACCACAATCTAATGTCCTTATCTGAACACATTTCCTGCACCCCCTTCCTAAAATTATCATTTATTCTGTCTTGCTTTAGTTTTCTCCTTCCTTACCTTCCACATTCAACTTGTTACCAAGTCCTGCCAGAATTCTCACTCAAAGAGATTCCCACCTTCTTCCTTCACTGCTTGGAGTTCATATCCTCATCAACTCTACTATTTCCCTCTAAAACTGCCACCCCACACAATGTCCTAGACTCTGGGAAGCAGTCCTTTGCTGAACACCCAATGGCTTCTAAGATCAAATCTTCACAAAATGGCATATAAAGCCCCTGGCCATCTGGACTTGATACACAGATCAGCTCAGCTGCCAAGAATGCCTCTCAGGGGCTTTCTGCCATATGAAGTCTGCTCTCCTCTCAGGAGGGGTCTCGAGGCATGCTCTAACATCCCTGGACAAAGGGGCTGGCTCTGTCTGCCTCAGCACTCAGGGCAGACTTGTCTGTCTGTCCCACCTATTACATTTAATTACCCAACTACCCAGGTGTTTCTCTCTGCTGATCATGCACAGTGTATGTTCTGTGGTTGTTGACCACAACTGTCGATTTCATGGTAAATATCAAATTGTTAAAATAAATGTAGACTGGAGCTTATCTCTGCTTCTGAGGGATTTAAAAAAAAACCAAAAAACCCACCCATATAAAAATATTCACCGTTCTACCACGTACAGACCCTCTCACATGCCTCCCCATTCTTGAGTAACATACCGTATGTCCCAGAAACGAATTTTCTTGTCAAAATGTCCACTCATTACACACTGCTCTGTGCAAACAATATCATTGCAGCTGGATCCCGCAAACACTGTCTTTATGCCTGAAAGAAAGCAGATCAGTCATCAGGCAGAGGCTCTTCCATCGCTGTCCACATAACCTCACTCCCTCAGACCCCAAGCCAACAGAACTCCTCATTCACATGAAGCTTTCAAACATGGAAAATTGCCACCCCCTCAGCACCATTCTCACTTGCATTCAAACTGTATCACACTAAATGCAGGCTTTGATGTCTAACCCCACATATAAACAGAGAGACTGAATTTCCTCACAGACTTTGCTGCGCAGATCCCAGAGTTTGAGGGTCCGGTCATGACTTCCAGAAACAATACGCGCATTGTCCAGCAGGAACTTGGCAGAGAGCACTTTACCACTGTGTCCTGTGAGTGTGTGCTAGGAGAGAAACACAGCCAGAATAAGCCTGGCGGCGGCACACCACGAAGGAGCCAACTTCTCCAAACACCTGATGGTTGGTCAGGAACATCAGAAGCAGAAGGACCAGTAGCTGGGGAAACACCCAAGAAACCTATCTATCTACAGGTGCTGCCCAGAGGTGAGGTATATCAGAGAAATACGATAAATCTGTCCACAAATAACATTAATCACCACCACCCCCCTCAAACACACACACACACACACACACACACACACACACACACACACACACACCAAAAACATCACCAGTACAAAGTTCACATGTCTCATCCTCAAAACCAGTGAGGGCAACAAGAGGACTTTTTTTGAAACATAGCACTGTTCTTGCACCTTTTAAAAATAAGTCTGTATTATATCAAATCACATTTTAAAAGCCTTGGGTTTAGCCACTGCCTCTAAAAGTCAGAATAGACATTTTCTCAGAAGATACATTTACAAAAGGAAACATCAGGCCTCATTAAATAAACAATTAAAAGCCCGGAGGTTTTTCAAAGAGAGGTCTCAGCTTGAAAGTCAGATCAGAACCACAGATAGCACACTCCCAGTAATCACATCCCTTCGAGACTGGCTATAGGATGCCAACCACGTGTCCTCCCTGGGCTCGCCAAGGAACACAGACCTGGGACATCACAGAGTGTCAGCTGCCCTTTTACCCATCAAAGCTCTACTGGAGCCTGATGGGAGCGAGGCGGCTGGGGATGCTGAGGATGCAGGGAGGGGACCTGGGGAATCAGCCCTTTTACTAGTCATCATTGACCTCTTTTATATTTGCAAAACCTCAAAGGCTCAGAGGTATTCACGGATGTTTTCTAATAAAAACAAGCCTTTTTAAAAGTCCCTAGTATACTTATTCCACTGGTAATGATGGGTTTCAACCTCACTCCCAAAGATGAGACCTCAGAGTTTCGTGTAAAGTTTTCAGTGTTGAAATTTTAGAGTCTCGTCTTTCTGCTATACTGAGTGGAGCAACTGCATTTAGTACAGGAACAGAAACTTAGGACATGCGTACTTCTCCCTGTCTAAGAAGTCTGCTCGGCTTCTCACTCACACCCCTCACCCTGACACCTCTCTGAAACTGGGACTGATCTTACAAGTGTGCCAGCAGGTGGTGGCTGGGCTGCTGCAGTGTAAAAGCTGCCACCGATCCTGTTGGTGAAAGCAACTCCAGCACCAAAGCTTACATTCCATATGGTACAACTCATCCAAGTCCCGGGAGACAGGAACCTGGGTAGGTACTTCTCATGCAACGTAAATTAAGTTCTTAGTTCTGTGTATTTGCACTTTCTGTAATCACATCTCACCAACACAGGGAGGAAACACAGGTGCTTGCCAGCACCCTGACAGAACCCTGACTTCGCTCATTAATTGGCCATGTGAATGCACTCGGTCTTTCACATTTCTGTTTATTTCATGTTATTTTTTTTTAACATTATAGTATAAGCAGTTTTTCATGTGATAGCTAAAAACACACGGGCCTGGGGTCACACTGATGTTGCTCTATCCAGCCTGGGCCTCTAACTTAAACTGAGGAAGACAAATCTCTTCCTCATGCTGGTTTAGCAGCATGAAGTAGGCACATGTGGACAGCACTAACTTTCTTTTTGTACCCTCACACTTAAGTCTTCATACTTTAATTGCGGGAATAATTTGTATGTGGTGATGTGACAATTCAGCTGAAATTTCCTTGGCCAGCAGACACTTAAGTTGCTTTAAAAGTTTCATGATAACAAATGATGCTGCAATGAACACTATGAGCCCACAACTTTTTCTTGACGTATTTCCTGGAATGAACTATGGACTAATGGAATAAAGAAAAGGAATGTTTTTATTGCTTTGCCCTTCATAGATATTCTTAGATTGCTTTTAAAAAAGTCTGGACTCCTGCTAATCTTGTTCTTGGTGGAAACCCAGATGGATCTGCCTGAGGCTGACTAGCTCCATCTCCATGTTATCAGCAGCAAGGAATTGAGCCTCCTATAAGCACTCAATGTTAGCATTTAAAAAGAGCTTATTTTAAGTGGATCAGATTTATTAAAAATTATTTCATTCACTCAGTTTTTTATATTTACTTATAATATTTAATTTTAACACTACTTTTAAGTTTTTCTTAGTCTTTTCAACAAGGACTCACTAGACATGCCACAGTGGGTTCAGCTGTCACAGCAGTCCGAGCCCCACATGGGAGGGAGGTTTGACATTTTTCTCTAGCATTCTGCTCAGACTCCTGTGTTCCGGGGTAGATCCTGAGTGCTGCCCATCATGCCAGCAGCTACCGTTAAAACAACTGATGCCAGAGAAATGCAGAACTTGATGAGGAAGTTTCTGAAATAAGAACACCATCTGAAAGCCAGTCCAGCCTCTGGCCACCTCTCCACATCACTGTCAGAGCATTGAACAGAATGGGTTTTTCTTTTTTTTTTTTCTTTTTTTTTTTTTTAATATATTTTATTGATTTTACACAGAGAGGAATTGAGAGGGACAGAGAGTTAGAAACATCGATGAGAGAGAATCATCGATCAGCTGCCTCTTGCACACCCCCTACTGGGGATGTGCCCGCAACCAAGGTACATGCCCTTGACCGGAATCGAACCCGGGACCTTTCAGTCCGCAGGCCGACGCTCTATCCACTGAGCCAAACCGGTCCCGGCCAGAATGGGTTTTTCAATCCAGTTCCCTAAGTCACATCTCAGAGAGCAGCTGGGCCAGGTGACATTGACTTTAGATTTTTAAGGGAGTCTCACACCCGGTATTGAAGGAATCCTATCATGGGCCCCTTTCAATGCCAGGCTGTTTCTAGGGTCCCTTTACTAAAAGGGTTTTAAAAGCAAGCACTCACCCAGCTGCTCCTTGCACCTAGTCTCTCTCAACACCATTCACTTATCATCAAAGTTAAGGAGACAGTGACCAGGGCTTGAACCTGAGTTTTAGATCATAGGTGTCCATACATGCCTTCCAACATCCTCTGTAACAGGGTCTAAGTGGGAGCCACAGCCCCTACAACAGGAAACCCACTTAGTTCTGCACCTTGGTAAGAGTGTGATCTGTGAAAAAGGCCTCTTGGATCTCTTCCCACATTTCCTGAGGGACAGGACATAGCTGTGAGCAGATTTGAGGCCACAGAGCCAGCTATCCAGAGAAGAGACAATGGCCTCAACATGAGCACGGCTTGCCAGCACCCTGACAGAACCCTGTCTGATAAAACCTCTGCAAACTGCCGAAATCGGTTTCGCTCAGTGGATAGAGCATTGGTCTGTGGACTGAAAGGTCCCAAGTTCGATTCTGGTCAAGGGCATGTACATTGGTTGTGGGCACATCACCAGTAGGAGGTGTGCAAGAGGCAGCCAGTTGATGTTTCTCTCTCATCGATGTTTCTAGCTCTCTATCCCTCTCCCTTCCTCTCTGTAAAAAATCAATAAAATATATTAAAAAAAAAACAAACAAAAACCTCTGTAAACTAGCGCACTTGAGACAAGTTTCACAACAGTATGACCTCTATCTTCCAGAACTACCTCAACTCCACGTCCCCTTCCTCTTATGTCAGACCCAACGGTGATGCCCACCTGTACAGAACTCTACCAATGAAAAATACATCCTGCACAACTAATTGACTCAACTGGTTGCTTGGGTCCTCCCTCCAAGAGCCACAAAGGTAAGGAAAGCTGTATGTCCCGCAACTCAACACTTCAGCCATTTCCCAGTCTAGAATACTGGTGATCCAGGCCAATTCAATAAAGGAAAGAGCACCTGCCTCAATACCAATTCTCACCTGTTTGTTAACTATGTGACCTTGGGCAAATTGGAGCCTCAGTCCCCTCATCTAACCACATGAGCTGCCTTCCTGGGGACTATAGCAGTAATGCACATAACACCCTCAGTACTGGGTCTAACACATAGAGGCTGCTCAAGAAAAGCCACCTTGTTTTAGATAAGTTAATGACTGCAGACACATACAACTCTTACACGGCAGTTACACAGAGCATGGCAGACCACAGGACGAATTAAAAAACTGCTACAAGAACAGGCTAGGCATCTTTTCCATGTTAAGCGTGAACTATCACGCTACAGCTGGAAACTCGTTCAAATATTTGAACAGACGTGAACTGTTGCTTGAGGCGAGCCTTGCCCTGCCTGAGTCCACTTCCACTCCTTCACTCAGACAAGAACCCAGGCAGGCTCTTCAGCTTTCAGAGGACATCATGTCATCTTCACGCCTCAGACTTTATATGTATAACCCTGGATCTTCTTTCAACTAAGAGTAAAGAATTACCACTGTGATCATTTCCCACAGCACCTTCAAGAAAATGGGAAGCCGAAGGGATCCACTCACTGTGTTTCTAAAGATTCTTCTAGTTTTACTCCTGTGTCACCAAAACAGACCACCATACACCACACAGAGCAGCTCCCACTTCCCTGCATTTGCCTTTGGTAAGTTAATCTTGACATCATGCTGTTTTCTGTGTGGGCTGACATACAGAACTGCTGTCTAAGTTTTTTGATAAAATTCCTACCAATGTCAAGTTCACCCTCCATCTTAGCTTTCAGTAGCCCTTATTTCATGAGCTCGTGTGAAGACTCCTTCAAGCTTAAGGAGAAAAACCAGTCTCCAAATCAAGTGATGTGTTTTTCATTAGAACAAAGGCAATATAACCCTCACGTTTTGGTCTTTATCTTGGAATCCACAGGACTTCTCAGCAAGTCTGGGTTCAGATATATATAGGCTTCCTTCACATCTGATCCAATGACACCTCGTTCCCCTTTCATCTGACTCTTAGCATCAGTTGTTTTCTCTCAATCACAGAGAATCCATATGTATGTCTATATCCTACTTTCCAGTATACCATGGGAGATAATTACTAAGTCAATTTATATGCTGTCAAGATCACTTAAGTTAAGCTAAGACTGGTATCTATGAAATACCTCCTCTTATTAAAAGAAATGTCCCGAGTCTTTCATGGAAAAGTGAAGGTTTCCAATTGCAGATTAAATGGACCTGCTATTGCCTAACATTGCTGTGCCTTGATAACCATGAGAAGTTAGGAGTTTATACTAATTTTCCTAACTGGGTCTTACCCGTAACCGATAATCATCCACGGTCCAAATTCGGCTTGCAAAATCATTTGAAGCAGCTAAGAGGTAAGATCCCTATTGAAATAAAGGGGGAGGGAAGGTGAGACACATATTTCAGCCAAAATAGAGGAATTCAGTTCAAACAATACAAACTCCCCAATAATCAAGTCCAAGAGGTTTAGATGTCTAAAACTATACACCTGATCCAAATACCATCTATCAACACCAATATCTGTCAACTCACCAATATATGTTCAGACCTTTCTCTTAAGCTCACTAAATCTTGCCTGAAGGTTGAAGACCCTCCAGCTCAAAATGGAACTTGGCCTCCTGCATTCACTTCCCTCCTGCCTTCAAGTCACAGCAAATACTAATTCTCTACACACTGCTTCAGCCGGAAAGCCCATAGGAACTGACCCTGCACTATCTCAACTCCCAGCTACCCCCTCGGAGATCTGCTCATCTCTGGCACAGGTCTAGCTGGATGCTCTCCTCTCCACCCACAACACCTCAGCCCAAACTGGGACCTTTATCAAGTCTGCAGAGATCAGCTGGGTTAATGCAGACCTACCTCCCCAGCCCAGTCACGATCAGCACGGAATTTGTAATATACCTGAATCTTTCTTTAACACTGATTTTACTCAAGATAAATAGTGGACAAACCAGGTGAGTTATTTTTAATTTTGAAAAACAGATGTCTTATTTCTAAACATCTCTTAATGCACCTATTTCCCCAGTTGTTAGATACTTACAGCACTATCAAATTCAATGCTTGTAATTCCTGCGTTACTGCCAGAGAGGGAACCCTTGAACTCACACTTGTCTGGATAAAAAGAAAGGTGGAGGAAAGATAAAAAGGTAAAGCCATTATGTAAGTTAAAATGGGGCATCTGAAACATTAGAAGCCAACTATATTTTCAAAACAGCATTCCTGCACCATCACAGAATCAACCAGACAGACAGAATATAGGATCAAAATATACTGTTGTGAGTTTCTAAGAGCAATGAAGGTATATGGGGATGCAGAGCCTAGCATTTTGCATGTGTGTTAAGCTGTTCTTTTAGAGAAATTTAGTATATACAATGTACAGTGTACTTCTCTTGAGTACATTTATTTGATATCAAAGATACTATAAATCGTGAACCTGATCAGTTTTCCCCTTTGCATTGGCTGATAGAAAGCTCAGGCCAAATAGGTGGTTGTTTCCAGCAAAATCTAGAATACTTTTGGTACCTATTTGAGATGCAAATACACTGAGTGGCTAGATTATTATGCATTCAGAGATCATAATAATCTGGCCACTCGGTGTATACAGGCCATGTCAATTGACTTAGAGACTGAGTTTCATTTAGTTATTTCTCAGTAAAATTTTCTAACTTACATCATAAATACATCTTTGGGTTTGATACGTGTTTGGACCAACTTAACTACCAATTCTGGACCAACTTTTCAGAATCCAGGTGTGATAATTCTCAGGAATGTCTGAAAAGTTTTTGCTTTAGTTAGGTGTAAATGGCAAGTCATTAGAATGCCAGTTAGCGAGTTTGAAATTTCTGGAGTGTGTCCTTGCACTTACTGTATGCTGGCCCCATACATGTAAATTTCAGTTATGCAGACATAAGCTTACAGGAGTACAAGTCTTAATGATGATGCTATTACATTCCTTTTTTATAGGGTAGCTTAAGGGTGACCTATATAGACAATCTAGGAAAACAATTAGGGAACTATTCTAAATCAAGTTCATAAAAAGGGAGCATGGGATAGGAAATATTTCAATGTTACCTTTTACTCAGCACTTCTAAATAATAGCAATATGAATACTGGTTTGGAGCAGTCAAACATATTTAGGGCTGGGATCATTAACCTGATCTATGAACTCCACCTCTATATTTACTTGAAAAATATAGCCCATTATAAGTCTCTTCCTAAATCTTAGCTTTCATTAGATTTTCCAAAGTAAAAAAGGGCCATCATCTGCTAATTAAGGTCTTTATTTAGATTACAGCTTTATAGACCAAATTATTACTGCAAATTCTAAGAAACAGCTCTCTGACTTATGTCCAAAATATTATTGTTTGGCAGCCAAAATGCAAGAAGTGATCGATTAATGCTATTCCACAGAAGAGAATGATCTCAAAAGATCAAACACCTTGTTAAAAGTAAAAAGCTCTTTTATCTAAGAAGGCAGCAGGGGAGGTTATGTTAAAACGTTTTATAGAAGTAATTACCAATGGAGCCACTGCTTTGATAGAAAGAGCAAGGATGGGTGTTCCTTCTGCGTGAAAGTGCCCTTCTTCTGATATTTTAAAAGAGAAAAACAGGACACCCCAAACTATTTCATAAGTCTCTTAGACTTTGTACCTTCCAAGGTTCAGTAAATATTAGCCAACAGGAACAAAACTGCAAACTGAACAGGCTGTTGTGGACTAATTCTAATGGGCTTCAACTAGTTGTAACTGCCAGAAATTTAACTACTGAGCCACTTTCCTAAAAATCAAATGCCAGGATAGACACACTTGGGGCTTTGCTGACCCCCTGTTCTAACCAACAGATGGACAGACTGTTTTTCTACAGAGTTTTTCAGTAACTCTACAGCTTAGGGGAGGCTGTCATGGAGAAAACAAAAGACTTGCAGTTAGAAAACCCAACTCAGCCTCTAGGTTCCACCACTGCTTTGCCACGTAAATCATCTGTCAGTCATGTAAATCAACTATGTCAATCTGATAGTGCCCGAGTTTTCAAATACGGGTGATACCCAGCTTTCTAACTGCACAGGGCCATTGTGAGAATCAAAGGAAATAACACAAAGGCCCGTTGGAACTATTAACTGCTGGACAGGAAGCATAAATATGCTATAACTATGGAAACTTGACAAAGTGGTTCCTACAAAAACCTTCAGCCTATTCTTTGACCTTACTTTATTAAAAGTATATGTACAGAGGAATATGTTATTTAAGAATTAAAGACATGTGCACACTGAAAAAAAAAACAAATATATATACATTTAACTGAATCTTAAAATGTTGAAACTGGACTATGTCGTAGCTTCAGCATTTTAAGAGATGATTTCATTAACTCCCATTTTCTTTTTCAATGCCATCCCATTTCTGAGTGCTCTGAGATCAACTCTGAAACAAGGTCTAATCAAAGACCGTGTCTTGATCTTAGGGCCCTTGTCTGATAAGCTGCTTTTAATTTTCCGTTAAAAACATGTACTATTTTGGAAGATACTCTAATTAGTATATATCTGAAAAACACAAACACAAACATATCCATAACTTTACAGTATTTTCTAGTCACTGCTTGGAAACCCACAGCAAACATCTTCAGCTATAAAGTGCAACTGAGACAGTAATGATGCTCTGGTCAGACTCCTTAACACAAAATGTTTTACTTTGAGAAGATGAATAATTCAAAGGTTGCCTGAAACCAAATCAATCAGATGTCACAGCTTCCTTCGGTACACTCTGAGATCTTACCTCCAGACACTTCCCAAAGCTTAACCCTCCGATCCATGCCGCCCGTGGCCAACAGCCGGGATCCAGGACTGAACTGCACAGCGTTGACTTCCCCGTCATGAGCATCCTGCAAGACAAGCACCCTTTCATACCCAATCACTGCCCTTCCCACGAAGAAAGAGTCCAATACAAGTGAGCCCCCTGAATGTCTCACCAGAGAACATTCATCCCTAATGAGAAGAATCTCATCATAAAATAACTCGGGTTCCTAGTCCAGGCTTTCATAAGATTCTATCATTTTATTCTTATAGTTAACAGTTCCACTTAAAGACAGTGCAACCTTTTAGGATTCAAAATTTGTGTAAACTGCTTCAAGTTTGTTGTCATATTAATCTTATTTCTTCTAAGAATAAGAAATTTCAATCTATATTCTTGTGTGATCCTGATAGCTTTAGAGTAAGAGTATGATTACCTGATTCCCTTTTGGTCCAGACTGCATGAATACACATCACACTATGTATCTAATTAATGTACAGCATGACTTTTCGTGATAAAGCTTTTATGGCTTTCCTAACAAGGATAGTCTAATATGGAGTCCCAATATGAGCAGATGCCAGTGCTACCTAGGCACAGCAGTGTTACAGTGAAATTCTATGTGGGCACTAATGTATATGAGCAGTGTGACTTCTGGCAAGTTCCTTAACTTCATAAGCCTCAGTTTGCTCATCTAAAAAAAAAGGACTTCCAGACCTAGGACTGTGCCTGACTATAAGACCTTCAACAAAAATTAAGAGGTGTTATTTTGGGAGAATTTAAATTCATCTAGGGAAATTACTAAGACTGGCATCCACACTGGAACACATGATATGACAAGATGGCATTTGTGGTCAGGATAATAAAAAAAAACAACAAGCAAAAAGCATCTCATCCTAGAATGAGAAGAGAGAATGCTAGAAGTTGTTGCTATAATCTCTTTTCTTTAAGATCATGGATACTGAATAAAATTAATATATTATTGGATTCAGCTTTAATTGAAACATAAAATAAATAAAAAATTTTAAAGACTGTGGCCAGGCTGGTGTTGCTCAGTTGGTTGAGCATCAACTCATGAACCAAGAGGTTGCTGGTTTGATTCCCAATCAGGGCACATGCCTGGATTGTGGGCTTGATCCCCAGTAAGGATTGTGCAGGGGTCAGCCGACTGATGTTTCTCTCTTTCCCTTTCCCTTTCTCTCTCTCTAAAAATATCAATAAAAACATTTAAAAAATACCATGGATACTAAAATATCAATGGATAAAACAATGTCTGGGACTCTGTTCCAATAAAAATTTAAAGGAGATGCCTGAATCGGTTTGGCTCAGTGGATAGAGTGTCAGACTGCAGACTCAAGGGTCTCAGGTTCGATTCCAGTCAAGGGCATGTACCTTGGTTGCAGGCACATCCCCAGTAAGGGGTGTGCAGGAGGAAGCTGGTCGATGTTTCTCTCTCTCCCTCTCCCTTCCTCTTTGTAAAAAAAATAAAATAAAATAAAAATCAATAAAATATATTAAAAATAAAAAGAATGTACGCAGGGGAGACAGTAAAATGGACAAACGTGGCTAAATGAAGCTGCCAGAGAGGATGATGGTACCTCAAAATTCTTTTTACTCTTCACTTCAATGATTAAAATTTCCACAATAAAATGAAATATATATATAATGAAAAACAGGGATTATAAATTTTAGATCATTAGACAGGTCATCAATCATTTATGCTAAAGGTTATTTTGGGAAGACAAAACCTGATCTTCACATCTGCTTGGGACTAAAAAAGATGCTTAACATATTATTTCAAGCATGACCGGATGGATGTAAACATGACTTTATTATTTCCTTGTTTGATGATCTGATTTCCCATCCCCCCCTATGTCCACTGCTAAAAAGCTGCCTGACAGGAGACCAAACTTTTTAGCTCCTGTGATTCCCTTCCTTGCCTTTTAAAAAAAATAAATGTCTTTCTATTGAAGAGGTCTCAGATTGAAAACTTGAGATCATGCACCATCACACCCATGGCTGCCCTCGTCATGCTCCTGAGGGGTGGTTCTGTTGGATAGTTGTCAGCTGTGAATCGTACACTCTCAGAAACACATACTGACAGAATCCTAATTATCAGCTGCTCCATTATCCCATGCACATGACTCAAATGTGATAGGAGGAAAAAATGGGCTGCTGGGAGCCGAGGGCAAGAAGGGACTGTGACATTAAGTGCAATCAGACCTTTTACCAATCATCATTGACCTCTGTGAGGAGCCAGGCCTGCCAGGGAACCACAGGAGTACAGTGGGACTTTCTTTACAACATCTAAGGTAGTTCACTGGGTGCAAATATCCAATTACTAAAGTTTCTCCTGATGCCTAGAATGGAAAGCTCCCCCCTATAAATCCCATCTCATTTTTATAACAAGTCTTTCTCTCCCCTGAAAGCTGGCTCCTCTAATTCATTGAAAGAGCCCAACTGTCTGGGATCTGCTCTTCCTATCTGCCTTTCTCCCCCTTCACTTGAGCCCTGAGCCAGGCACTATCCTGCCCCCACACTGGTTCAGTGCCTTCTGCCTCCCCAGCAGGGACCACACTATCCTTTCATACTAGGACCCCTAGGACTCAGCTCTGAACTCCAGCTGACAGCCCTGATACCAAAATGGCTTCTGCCAGGAATTGCTTCCAACTATGTGCTCCTAATGGTCAGAAGTCCCACAGATAGAGGTGTAAATCATGAAGCCAATAGTTACCCTACTGACCCTCCCGAACAGACCATGGACTAAACTCTTACTCTAAATTGGAGCCAACTGGTGACAGCAATTGCATGCATTACTAATTTCTCACATCTCTATAATTATTTTCCCTTGCCCCATCCCTCATGTTTCCAATCCTCTCTTAGCCAGTCCTATATTACAGAGGATGGCTGTAATAAATTCTATCCTCTGAAGGTAAACAAAATGTATTAATGCCTTCTATCAGACAGAGACAGGTGCAAAGGCCTGATACAAATAAAGCAAGAGAAAGCTTAGCCTGCAGCAGGAGAAAGGACCCTTTAATTGTCACATTGTTACCATACCAGGCTTGGTGTGGGTTTGGGGAGAAACCATACTTACAAAGACACACACTGCAGTTGTTGGGACCCTCACTTCTTTACTTGAACCTGGATGAGTATCCGCATTATCCTGGGGAACGGGAAAGGAAGAGACAGAGCGCCTCCTAAGAAGTGACATAAAGGAGAAGATTAGAAAAGACCGCACAAGGCTACTTGTCTATCAATCTCAGAAAGGAGTCAAAGACCTTTGTATCAACAGGTCTTTTTTCCTTTTACACCTTTCAAACTACAAAATGATTGGTCAAATCAGAAATATCCTCACTCAAAGGACAACTGGGAAAGATAGGCAGCACATACTTGTACTCTCCTGCTTGCTAACTCATGGACTCCAAAACTCAACATTGAGAAGAGTCCTGAACTACTGCTTCCCATCCATACACTACTGATGACTTTCTGAACATAATTAAGTGCTAGCTCAGAAAGAGCTCGGTATTTTTGTAAAATGATTTAAAGACGTTTCCATGCCGAGTCACAGTCATCCTCAGTGTACACTGTGGTCAAGGCAAGTTGAACACATGCCAAGAAAAGAGCGGCAAGAGCGCGGCTGCTGTATAGAGCTCAACTAACCGCCCCCGCTCAGAGGACTGGCGGCATTCCTAGGAACATGCAAAGCGTCTTGGTTAGCACATGGACATTGATGATGGATGATGGAAGGCGGTGAAGCGGTGATCAGCTCAATTATCAACAACCCACACCCACATGCTGAGATAAGAGTAGATAATATTTTCACCTGGCAGCATCAGAAGAAGAGTGATGTCCCAAAAGGGGAGACTCGGACAGACTAAAGGATAAGGCCAGAGATCAGCACGCAGCAAGATTAAGAGAAAGGAAATTGAGGAAAAAGAAAGAAGCTAAATGAAAAGCTGAAATCAAGGCATCTGTATATTCTGTACCACTGACATTCTGGTGTACATTAAAAAAAAAAAAAGATAATAAATCATATACATATGCTTAGGTATATTTACATACATATCAATAAGGAAAGGTGAAGGTTTCTAACCTACCCAAAGATATTAGTGATAGAATCCAGAAGGCCTCCAGCAGGCTGCGAGAGTCGCTTACTAAAGAGGAGGGGAGGATAGGTTTAAACCATAGAAACATTTGCCCAAATAATCAATCAATAAAAACAGTCCACAAAAATAGGTTACCTGGGAGTATGTTTCCCACGAGTTCATAACCCCCTGCCAAGAAACTCATCACAGTACAAACCACCAGACAACAGTGGGAAAGTCAGAGGGAAACCCAGCCTCCAAGTTTTTTTTAAAAAAACAAGGCTCTCTAGCATTAAATTAATTTCCTTGGCAATAATGTTTTTGACGATGAAACTGTCAAACTGACCTAACAATTTCTGGCTATTAATATCTAATCCCCACACTTCCAGTCTGCTTAACCAAATAAAAAGAATCCTGGAGCCCAATAAGAATTAAAGAGTATGATCTAAACCAGCAGTCACCAACTTTTTGGACCTCGTTGGCCACCTGTGGTCCACGGACCACTGGTTGGCGACCACTGATTTAAACAATCACCCTGCCTAATAAGTTGAACTGTCATTTTTTAGGATCCATTGAACTTTTTCTGTTTCCCTTCATAGCAGGTGACAATACTAAGGGATGGCTTGCCTCCCATTAAATAGAGTGGGACACTGAGGAGCCTAATGATCTCTATGGTTGTACAATACGACTGGTGCCCCAGCACAGAAGCTTGGGTGCATCAGATTGCTGTCATGGCCACAAATGTGCTCTGTGAAGCTGCACCCCCACTCTCCGTTCCTGGCTAGACCCGTCTACTTACGTGGCTGCTCTGCTGATGCCTCGCATGGGCGAAGTCTCTTCAGTGTGATCAGAAGTTTCATCCACAATGACTTCAATGTCATCATCCCTAGAAAGAAGGGCAAGAGGTCGAGTCTTTGATTCTGCTCAACAGGAGCTTTTTGTTTTTTTAATGTTTTTACTGTTTTTAATGTTTTTACTGACTTCAGAGAGGAAGGGAGAAAGAGAGAAAAGAATAGAAATAGTAATGATGAGAGAGAATCATTGATCAGCTGCTTCCTGCATGCCCCCTACTGGGAATCGAGCCAGAAATCAGGGCATGTGCCCTGACCAAGAATCAAACTGTGAATTCTCTGGTTCATGGGTTGACACTCAATCACTGAGCCACACCGGCTAGGCTCAACAGGATTTTTATGATGAGTCTGTTGTGCAAATGTCAACAACATTACACAGGAACATACCACCTATGTGACTTCACCACATCAATGTTTAAGAGAAAAAGAAGCTGTAATGCTCTGAATAATACTAAAGGAAAAATATCCAGAATTCAGCTGATAACAACCTTAAAAGAGAGCTTTTGATCCTTTCAAATCCCACCTGGAAAGCAAATAATGATTTATTAAGTCTAGAATCACATAACCAGCACATAACTTCTTTCCAACAGAAGTCTGGTGAGTAGCTGAAGGCCTCCTGCCCTCGAACAACTGGACCATAATCACCAATAGTTTTGAGATGGGGAAGACACACAAATAGGGGCAGCTACAAAGTAAAGGGACACAAAAAGGGAAATGAAACTTGCTGCCTCGCACAACCACTTCAAAACTACAACTAAAAGACAAAATGGACATCATCCAGAACCACAGGAAGGCTGGCTGAGTGGAAATTCTACAACTAGAAGAGAAAAGCACACTGAGACTAATAGGAGCTGCAGAAGCAAAGTGCAGAGATGTACAGAGGCGTGTACGTGCAGAAAGGGCTGGCAATTGAGTATGCGGTTGTCTTTCTCAATTGGGGGGGAGACACAATCTCCTGACTGTTCTGAACTCTAGTTCTGGGCAACACTCTGAGGACCCAGACTCATTCAGGAGAAACTGGACTGTCTGATAACAGACGGAACTTGAAGATGGCTTTCTATCAGAGGTGCTTGCAGTGATTACTGAGGGACACTGAGACCCAGGGGCCTCTTAGGGCAGGGCTGACAGGAAGCCATTGCTGTTTGGTTGGCCCTGAGATTCCGCCCTATCCAAGCTGAGTGCAGAGGCTTTTGCATATGAATGGCCCGGTCCTTTGAAATCTAAAATTACCCAACAAACTGCAGCTGGGTCAAAAGACACAGAACATCCAAAAGAAGGCCCAAGGCCCCACAGTAGCTTGCAGTGCTTCACAGCTGGGTCTCACTTGGGCACCTCCAAACCCCAAAGGAAGAAGAGGAACCTGCAGATCTCTCTGTAGCTCCCACTGGGTGGCCTCAGGCAGAGGCTAAATTAGCACTTCCTTGGAGATCCAAGAGCCAGTGTACCCAGTGGTCAGAGTGGGACCATCCAGATTATTAATACAACTCCTCAGATCTATAAGGGACACACTCAGGGGGCAGACTCAATTGAGCACCTCAAAGTCCCACTGAAGCAAGTCTTGCCCCATAAGGGTGTCTCCAGCACGGCAGTTCTCCCATTGTAGAAACAGATGATCCTCACAGCCAATTGGCCTGGAGGTCAATTCCTCCCAGGGATATAAACAACAATCAAGGTTTAACTACAACAAAACTGTGCACACAGCCCACAAAGGGGTACATTAAGAGTGTCCACCTCAGGTAACTGGGGAGGCTGAGCCACTGGGCCCTGTAGGACACCTAGCACACAAAACCACTCTATCAATACAGAAAAGCAGCCAAAATGCGCACATAGAAACAGATCACAAATGGAAGCTATAGAGTTCAAAACCATGGTAATAAGGTTTTTCAAAAATTTTCTAGAAACTGCCAATAAATTTAGTGAGACCCTTGAGCATATGAAAAAGGACCAACTAGAAATTAAGCATACACTGACTGAAATAAAGAATAATATACAGAGATCCTACAGGAGACTAGAGGATCACAAGAATCAAGTCAAAGATTTGTAATACAAAGAAGCAAAAAACACCCAACTGGAAAAGCAAAAAGCAAAAAGAATCCAAAAATATGAAGACAGTTTAAGGAGCCTCTGGGACAATTTTAAGTATACCAACATCTGAATAATGGGGGTGCCAGAAGAAGTGAGAGAGCAAGATACTGAAAACCTATTTGAAGAAATAATGAAAGAAAACTTTCCCCACCTGGTGATAGAATTAGACTTACAAGTCTAGGAAGCGCACAGAACCCCAAACAAAAGGAATCCAAAGAGGACCATACCAAGACATATCATAATTAAAATGCCAAGAGCAAAAGACAAAAAGAGAATATTAAAGCAGCAAGAGAAAAAGTTACCTATTAGGGAGTACCCATAAAATTGTCATCTGATTTCTCAACAGAAATTATGCAGGCCAGAAGGGAGTGTCAAGAAATATTCAAAGTGATGAATAGCAAGAACCTACAACCAAGATTACTTTACCCAGCAAAGCTATCATTCAGAATTGAAGGTCAGATAAAGAGCTTCACAGATAAGAAAAAGCTAAAGGAGTTCATCACAGCCAAACCAGTATTATATGAAATGCTAAAAGGTATTCTTTAGAAGAGGAAGAAGAAAAAGGTAAAGATAAAAATTATGAACAACAAATACATATCTATCAACAAGTGAATATAAAAATCAAGTGAATAAAAAATCTAATGAACAGAATAAACTGGTGAATATAATAGAATCAGAGGCACAGAAAGGGAGTGGACTGACAGTCCTGGGGGGAAAAGGGATGTGGGGGCTGTGGGAAGAGACTGGACAAAAATCATACACCTATGGATGAGGACAGTGAGGAAGGGGGGAAGGGCATAGAGTAAGGTAGGAACCGGGTGAGGGGAGTTATGGGGGGAAAAAAGAGGAACAACTGTAATAATCTAAACAATAAAGATTTATTAAAAACAAACAAACCAGGAAAGCAAAATCTAAACATAATTCATTTACACTCTAAGTATTTTATTTTTAAACTATTCAGTGCTCCTGTCCTGGTTGGGTGTCAATTGGTTAGTGTCGTCCAGTACGCCAAAAGGTTTCAGGTTCAATTCCTGATTTCTCTTTCACATGGATGTACCCCTTCCCCCCTGCCCTCCTCCCTTCTCTCAAATCAATCAAAACATTCTCAGGTGAGGATTAAAAAATAAATAAAAAATTAAGTTGTTGGTGCTCCTGACATTTGGAGAGTCCACTGCATTTCACACAAAGCCATCAAGTCATAGGAATGGAATCCACTGCCCTCCCCCCCATTTTCCTGGTAGGGGAAAGTCAAGTAATTATTTTGGTCTTAATGACCTCCTACTGAGTTTCAATCTTCATGGAGAAAATAATAAAATGTAATAACCTAAGACTATATCAACTAATTTTTAGATTCATAAGAGCTTGAAAGCAAGATTTTTCCATGATTATTTGGATTAAGTAAGTATATACGTAAGGACCTGTTATCAAGCAAGTTAAACCAAGTCAAAGTAAACTTATTTTCCTCGGCTATTGCATCTAGGGTTCTATGTAACTGAATCCAGACTGGGGCAGGGTGTACAGGGAATACAAAGGTAGGTCTGAAGAAAGAGAAGAAGGCTGGGCTTTCTTTTCTTCTAGGTTGTGGTTCTGGAAGTCACTTTTGTTTACACAAGGGTGACAACAGACCAGCAGAGATGGCAAGAGTAGTACAAATGAGTTGAGATCATGTAAATGCTTTAAAGTAGAATTATAAAGCCATAAAGGTACTCGGAACTCTACAAAGGCCCAGTGCCATGAGAAAATACAAGCATTTGGCAATTGGTTATCAAAACCCTTCAAAGATGTAAATGTCCTCCCTTTCCTCCAGAAATTTTCTCTTAGGGAAGGAAGCACAGACTAAAAACAGGCCTTGAGAGACACCCCTGGGTTTGCATCCCAGCTCAGCCCTTTTCTGGGTGGTCCTGGGCAGGACACTTGACCTGTCTGAATCATGTCACACCTAGTCACCCATATATGCTGCAAATAGGAAGTGGACAATCAATGCTTTGGTGGACAAAAATAACAAAGCTGTTATTTTTGAGAAATCATGCCTCATTTCTGGGTCAATTAATTTATTTACATTGCAGTTTTGTCAGGTTCATTTTCCACCTCTACAATTACAGAAGAAATGTCCATTCTGCATCTAAAGCAAAGGCTTGGTATGAAAACCCTGTTTCCTTATAAAATAAGACCTTTGTCTGCTAGGTGACTCCTAACTGAATTTCAACCACCCTCCTCCACTTATATGCAAGCAACGTTTTAAAAAAACAGATCATAATTCTAAGTGCCATCCTCCAGAATATAATTCAATAGAAAAAGAACATATTCTGAACTAGAGACAAAAGGAATTCAGTCATGAAAGCTTCCGCCATCTTAAAACAAAGCTTTGGGTCTCAGGGAAGATTCTCTACCCTGTCCCCAGATTAGGAAAAGCTCCAACTGATTCAATTCCTTTTGTTCCAACAGATCCTAATCTTCACTTATGTTTTGAAGATTTGCCCAAACATCCACTTAAAGCCACAAACCAAGAGCAAGAGAACCCTGCCCAGCATAACACTGCCCAAGCAGGGTGAGAAAGTGGGTCAGTAGCAACAGGAAAACAGGGAGGTTGACAGGTATTAGGGGTGCAGGTAGTTAGAATTCACAGCGCATGAGGAACAACTTTCTGGAAGGTAATGAGGATTCTTTCTCCCTTAAATCTTTTACATTTCTTTCAGCAATCCATAAAATGGTTTTATAGAAATTAAAAATACACGGTAGGTCCTCAGGTTAGGAGATCTGTTCTTACAATGCACGAGTTAACGCGATTTTCTCTGTCAGAACCCACCTACATAAGCACCTACATGGAGCACACACACAGCAGTAATGAAGTGAAACAGTAAAAAAAAATTTAACAGAAAGTTGCCGAAACCAGTTTGGCTCAGTGGATAGAGCGTCTGCAGACTGAAAGGTCCCAGGTTCGATTCCGGTGAGGGGCATGTACGTTGGTTGCGGGCACATCCCCAGTAGGAGGTGTGTAGGAGGCAGCTGATAGATGTTTCTAGTTCTCTAACCCTCTCCCTTCCTCTCTGTAAAAAATCAATAAAATATATTAAAAAAAAAAATTTAACAGAAAGTTAACAATTCCAGACCTTTACTGGTGGTAAATGAGTAATAAAAAACTCGTAACACACATATGTATATATGTCAAAATAACGGAACTTTTTAAAAAAATAAATAAGTGGGAGATGGTGATGTAACCATGAAACGACATATGTTGAGTCTGATGTAACCCAAGGACTGCCTGTATTTAAGAGAATCAAATCATCCAGAGCATAGTTTTGATTGCATATCTCTACTCACTGTTCAACTGGTAGAGGTTCTTTCGCTGCTTCTGCGAGCTCTTTTTGCAGTCGGGCTTGTCGCCGCCTATTTAAAAAAAGAAAGAAAAAAAAGCCCACCTCTTATGTTTGCTTAAAAAATGCATGGGGCTTTGGCTCTCAATAAACTAGCTTTAATAATATATCTAAATATTCAGTGCATTCAAAATAACAACTGCCTTGAGCAAAGATTCCAAGTCCCAAATTCATACTGGTAATATTGGTAAAGATGCTGTTATAAAGGCTGTCAGAGCAAAGCCTGGAGGAAGGATTATGTTATTAGAAAAAGCAGTGAACCACTAAGGGAGAAGCCTGTTGGGACCCAGGGCCTCTCAGGACAGAAAGGTGTATATAGGGTTAGTCATGGCTGCAACTTAGTTTTCTATAGCAAACAGCCTCATACCGACATACCAAGAGCATGAGTAATAAAAATTAAGCTTTATGTACATTTTACTTGTGCCTAGCTCAGTTTTATTATTTTACAGTTTTTAACTTATTTAATCCCCATAACAATGCTTTGAGGTTAAGTGCCATTATTTCCATTTTACAAATGAGATTAGGGCTGAACACAGAAGCCTTGACTCTGGCAAAATCTTAATGCTGTCAACAGTTGCATCCACTCTCAAAATTAATTTTGTTAATGTTTTCTGGTTTTCCCCCACCCTGCGGTTGGAGCTGCCAGGTTTGTTTCCTTCTTTTCGAAGACCTAGGTTCCACTTCAGCAAAAAAGGAACCAACTAACTGTGGATCCATCTCCTACCTTGAATCCTTTTCATTCTCTGCATTGAGGCGATTGGCTTCCTGTGCTTTCTCGGCCATCCACCTGGTGACCAGCTCCTGATTCTCCTCCGAAGTTTTCCTCAGTTTCTCCTCCAAGGCAGTAAAAGTGATCTGCAGGGCATCATATTCATCCTTCAGGGTCTGGTTGGCTCTCTCCAGGTCCTGCAGTTTATTGCGTAGTTCTTGGCACTCCGTCTCCAGATCAGAGATAGTCTGCAAACATTCTGCAATTCTGAAAGCATGACACAGGGGAGAAATGGTACTTCGCAGGAGTCCCGCTGGGGGCCAGAGGACCTGGCCAGGTGCTGGAGCTGCCTAAGCTCGGGCACCAGCAGTGACCTCAGCCATCACACCAGGCACCATGCAGGAGACTTCATTATTATTACACCTCACTTAGCAGAGCCCAGTCCCAATGGTTTACAGAACCCCATTAGGAGGAAGCACCTGGGGTCAAATTCATCGAGACAATGAATATTTTAGCATTTTTCAGAAAAGCAGGATTTGAAGGAAGAGGGAGCTTTTGGTGCTTAATTTGAGCAGTCAACAGGGGCTTAAGAGGCTGGAAGTCCTGTGTATGCCATCAGCTCTATCATTTACCGACTGAGAATGCCTGAGGAAGTCCCCCATTCTATGCCTCTAAATATCCCTCTCTGCACATTAAGGAAAAAGGTACAGATGACTCAGGTTGTGTCTCTGTTTATCTTATCTGCCAGGCTTCTCTCCAATCAAGAATAATCCCGCCCACAAACTCATCCTTGCTCTCAAGGACCACACACTCTTTATCTTGGGCCATTTCCACCACAGAAGACACCGGATCTCATCCCCAATGTCCCCAATGGCCACGGGAGAACTGTGAATGCCCCAAGGACATTTGCAAGGGCCAAAGGTATTTCCAGGAGTATGCTGGGAACCTGGAAGACTGAGGGCACTGTCCTGGCCTTTTCCATCCTTAGAGCAGGAAAAAAAGATCCCAAGCTATACATACACAAAAATAAAACTCTTGCTGAGTCCAATGTGGCTACCATTTGCCACTGATAACCACTGGCCCTGCTCACAAGAGTACAGTAGATAAAACAGGGGCATGATCCCACGACCAGTCCCGAAGTAGGTGTTGTCTCTACTCACTTTGCTTCATTCATCTGCATCTCCCTGTCCTTCTGCTGCATTTGGTTATTCAGGTCAATCACCAACTGAGCTAACTGGGGGTAAAGAGAAATACTTTCATAAATAAGAGATTTTAGGGCCTCAGTTGAAAACTAAATAACAGTGGGTTAAATTATTTTCAAGAAAGAAAAGGTGCCTGTGGGTTGAGCCAAGGCAGGAAGAAACGAGCTGGGTGGCGGAGAGGAGCAGAAGGGCCCATAGGGATGCTCACGGGAATGGTGGGGGCTGGTCCCTGTTGAAGGCAGGCTCGGATGGGTGAGAAGAGCTCTAGGTGACTGCCAGGTTCCTGCTGTGGACTCTGTCTACCCTTGAACCCCAGCTGTCTTTTTAGACTCTTCAGCTGATAAAATGATCAATTCAGCTGATTTGTAAATTTTATTGTTCTTGCCATCACAATACCATTGAGAGTTAACACAGCTCAGGATTTAATTCTAACGATTCTTTCTGAAATTTCAGGATTCAATCTCAAAAGCTTAAAAAATTATTTTCTTTATTGACATAACACTGGTTTATAACATTATAGAAGTTTTAGGTGTGCAACATTATGTATAATTCAACCAAATGTTTAATTTCCATCGTCACCATATAAGTGACCCTTTTACCTGTTTTACCCTCATCTCCCTCCCTTTGTCTCTGGTAACCACCCATCTGTGCTATCTGCTTCTAAAAAGCTTTGGGCCTTCAGTGGACTAAGCAGAAAACTTCTTTCCTTTAAAAGTCCTCCACTGGTACCTCCCATGCCATCTTAGAGCATGACAACCGGGAAGTTATCTCAATGGCTTGCCCTCTTGCTGATGAAACAAGGTCCTCACCCCTTTCCTGTTATTTCATTCCCACAGATAGAGCTAGTGATGCCACATGAAGCCAGCCTGCCCATCCTCCTACTAAAAGACCCACACAGAGCAGAAAACATAAGAGGAGAACAGCTATCTTTACCTCCCCACGTTTCTTGTGCAACTCAGTCAGTTCTTCCTGGTGTTTCATCCTCAGGTGGGCCATTTCCTGTAGCTGGCCATCATTCCATGCACCATCATGTCCAGGACTGAATTCCCAAACCAGGCAGATGAAGAGAATGTGCAAAAAAGAGGGGGTAAAAAATAAGACCCCTTTCAATCAGACAGTAGAACAATAACTCCAGAATTTCAACCATGAACATGACAACAAAGCCAATAAAGCAGGCCAGTCTCTCCAGGCCAGTGTAGTTATACGCCACATAAACCTGATGGAGAAAGTAGGAGACCAACCACTACCCAAACTACCTTTGTGCTTTCAGGAACGAAGGGTAGATTCCAGAATGAAGTTTAAATATCTATGGAAGAGATAAGCAGGCTGTTCACCAGGCAAGTATGTGAGCACCAACTCTGTGCCAGGCATTGCTCCTGCAGCTTGGGGAAGTAGTAGGAGGCTTTTAAGTGGCACGAGTGACCTGTATCCTTGCCCTAGTCTCAAACTCTTCTTTAGAATGCCAACTCCTTTTAAGAGGGCTTTTACATTTTGCATATTCTCCATTGCTCTGCATTAAAATAAGGAGATTTGATAAAAAATAATTTCTAATCCACATGCAGTTAATCTACTACTTCCGATTTTATTCAAAATAAAAGTCAAACCCCTAACAATAGTCCATCAACAGTGCTTCACTAGGTAGGTAAGAGTCAAACCTAGAAGGCATGTTTAAACACTCTCGGGCCCCACCCCAGATTGATACAGGTCTGAGCTAGAGCTGATAATCTGCACACCCACAGGCTCTCAAGGATGTGATCATTCACAAGGACTCTGAGTAGCCATGGATTAACACAGCGGTTCTCAAAAGTTAGAGGTAATCAGGATCACCTAAAGGGTTTCTTAAAACAGATTAATGGTACCCCACTCTCAGAGTTTCTGAAAAAATAGGTTTGTGGAAGGGTCCAAGGCTTTCCATTTCTAATAATTTTCCAGATGCTGCTGTTCAGGAAGCATACTTGGAAAATTACTAGAATCCACGATTTCCAGGCTTAAGAGTTTAATTTTAATCTATTTAGTAAGCAAGAGGATTAAAACACTTAAGAGGGAAGTCAGATAATTTATAGTATTTTTAAATTTTATTAAATTTATTGGAGTGATACTGGTTAATAAAATTATGTTTCAATCGTACAATTCTATTAAGATTAACTAGGACAAGATGTACAGGATTTAAGGAGACAGGAGAAAGGAAACTTAAAAAACAAAAGGCCCAAATGGGTCACTTGTGCTAAAAGCCCATAACCCCAAACCTACATTTAATGTCTGATCTAACAAGTTCCAATCTCTCTCATATCAGTCAGCCAGTGTAAAAGTTTCTGGTCAACACCAAGAGGTAATCTGCCAGGTGGACTCTTTTCCATTTCCTCCCTCCTTGAAGAAAGAGGCTATCTGCATGATAAAAGCACTTGGGATAACAATTCTTTCTTTTCTTTTGTTAGTAATCCCTAGCCCCACTCTTCTTTCTATCAAAACCTCCTATTTTATACAACTTCCAGTTGCTAGATGATGGTATGCTACAAGATTCACAAATTACTTGATAAATCCCATTAGACCTCCAAATTTACTTAATTTTTTAAAAAATGTAACCAACCAGGTAGCCATATTCTGTGCATAACTTATCACTCTAACAAACACCCCTTAACTGGTCACCCCCATTAGACCCACTTCCTTAAACAAGGGCACTGGCTTTTATCCCCAATACCTAGCCCACTCCACAGTCACACAATGTCTGAGTGCAGAAGGTCCCACAGTGCAGGAATGAAAGGGCAGGTAACAAATGAAGGGGAAAGGGGCATTATAGCAAAATAAATAAATAAGTAAAATAAACTAAGGGACAGATGCACTAGGGACTGTGGGAGGAACCAACAGGCTCAGGGAACTGACTATATGTGGAAGGGCAGGTCAGTGAAGGAAAAAGGAACCATAGATGACTCATGGAAAATAAAGAACAAGGAGAGGCCTGATTATGAACAAACATTTGTGGGGAGGGAAAGACCCCCAAATTACCACCCCTGTGATATTCAGCCAAAATAATTGTTTTACATTTACTTATAATACCTTTCCAAACAAATGAGCTTGTCAGGAAAAAAAAATACAAAAATACAGTAACCAAGAGTCTTGCCTAGTAGAAATAAAATGCTTTAAGTTTTCAATGGATTGATTTTAAATAAAAGGTGAAATGGTATTCTCTATATCTGAAATTGACCAGAAGACTGAACCGAGTATTTACACTGCTAAGAAGACCCCCTGCCAGGGTCCAGCCTGGCACACTCTGCCGGACTGTTGTTAGCAGGAATGGAACCTGGGCCGGCCCATTTGTTCATCTTTCCCATCTGGCCAGATTAGGAAACATGCATGGCAGTTAAACAGCTCACTCAGCTATAGTAATAAAGATATTAACCTACACCAGCATTTCTGGGGTTTTTAAAAACCCCAAATTACCATTAACCTTGTTCTTAAAACTGCTTAACTGTTAATTAAAATGCAAATAAGAATGGAATTTTAGAGCAATAATTCCTTGCTCAGAAACTATCAAATTTAATATGGCAACATGAGCATATGGAAAAAGACAGTAAGACTGTAGAATGATCCCAATTATCCTGCTTAGATGAAGAATGGTTTTCAGGTTTTTGGACCATAAACTTCAAAAAGAAATATAGCCGAAACCAGGTTAGCTCAGCAGATAGAGCAGCGTCGGCCTGTGGACCGAAAGGCCCCGGCTTCGATTCCTGTCAAGGGCATGTACCTTGGTTGGGGGCACATCCCCGGTGGGGGGTGTGCAGGAGGCAACTGGTCAATGTTTCTTTCTCATCAATGTTTCTAGCTCTCTATCCCTCTTCTTTCCTCTCTGTAAAAAAAAATCAATAAAATATATTAAAAAAAGAAAAAAAATATAGTTTATATAAATAATCCAAGTGAACACATCAGACCCTCATCATGAACTTATATTTAATAAGATAATACTCACCCTTCCTATAGAAATGCAGACCTTTTCCCCTAATCTTTCTAAAAAAAAGAAAAAAAAGTCTTGTTGCAACCTGTTAAATTTCACAATCTACTAAAATGTTGGAAAAAAAACACTGAATTAAAAAGGATCAAATAGACCTGTGTTGTAGAAAAAGCAAGTTATGGCAATCTGTATTAAACAAGATCTATGTAAATCTGCTTAGGAATGCTTACTAAGCCTGGTTATTTAGAAAATGTGAACCCTGACTGGCTGGAGAAGGAACTGGCCTAGTTATCCTCCTTAAGCAATTTCTCTAGCTAACATCTTACGAATAACTGTTCAAGGTGGGTAGATGCGAGAACCTCTAAAAAATATTTTAGTTATCTGGCTTCAGAATCTTATCTAAAAGAGCTGACAAAAAACTAGAGCACAGAAACAGTGCTTGGTTTGCTTCTAAATTAGCAAAATGAACTGAGACTAGTTTCAATTCATGAGAAGGTACAAATTTTAAAGGATAGTTTCAAAATACCTTATCTCATGCCTGTTGGGTATGTCCGGCTTCTCTGCTTGTAGCTTCTGGGTAAGAACTGAATGAAGATCTGACTTTTCCAGCAACTTGTTATCTATCCCCCCCAAAAGAGAGAAAATCAAGTTATTTATTATAACCTACGTACGTGTTTACTACTTAATGTCATATAAAGACTTGGACCACACATACAAAAAAGACTTGAGTCAAAATAAATAGGTTTCACTTTTATTAAGTATCAAAGTACTAGGTACTGTACTTTGTCACCAATTATAGCAATTATCCAAAATTTAGGAACATACACTCCTTAGATGTTGTTTGGCCTAAGCAAGGGCAACCCAGTCAAAGGGACCTATGTTCCCTCTATTAAAGACAATGGAAAATGCTTTCTACTCCCACAGTTAGCTATTTCTACCCTGGGAGTAAAAACCAAGAAGTCAAAGATCATTTTGAGATTCCTTGCTCAGGAAACTGGGTGGAAGATGTTATTGTATCAGAGAACACATATGAGTGGAGAGCTTAAGGGAGAAAATGAGTTCCCTTTCTGAACTTAACAAATGTAACAAGCAACACAGTGCAGGAATTCAAAAGAAAGGTCAGAGCTAGAAATGACTTGTAGTTAGTAATGACAGGCAGACGGGACAAGATCAGATTTTTTTTTTTTTGGGGGGGGGGGAGGTGGTGGAAGGGGATGTTTAACCAGAACAAGAGTGTGACCAGGGGGAATTTATACAATAGCTACATTTGATGGGGGTTGTTGCATATCCTAAAAGTCTAAGATTATAACTGCTTAAGAACAAAATTTTGATAGGGTTTTTATGCTAGTGACCATTTCTGCTGGAAGAGCTTCTTTATTTTCCTAAAGGCTCTTAAGCCCTTGAGTTCAGCCCTGGCCAGTGTGGCTCGGTTGGTTGGAGCATCGAGCCCTGCATCTGAAAGGTTTCAGGTCCGATTCCTGGTCAGGGCACATAACTAGGTTGTGGGTTCTATCCCCGGGATGCATATGATGGATGTTTCTCTCTCTCTTCCTTCCTCTCACTCCAAAATCAATAAGCACATCCTCCAATAAGGATAAAAAAGAATCTTGAGTACTATTTCTCCTTGATATCTGAAAATGGAATTACTGGCAGAAAAAGAAACACTCTCTTCATCTATTATACATTAATTTAATGAACTAGTCAGCAGAACAGAGAAGTGGTTCCAACTTTGGATATTCACCAGTGTCAAAGGGTTCTAATAAGATCTTTCATATATTACAGCAGAGCTGGGTGCCCTGTGATAATATTAGGTCTTTCAAAGGACATGAGGTATTGAGAAGGCATCCTTCCTAAAGTCCCTCTCACTAAAGAGAAGGCCCAGCCCAGCCTGCATGGCTCAGTGGTTGAGCATCGACCAGGAGGTCACGGTTTGATTCCCGGTCAAGGCACAAGCCCAGGTTGTGGACTTGATCTCCAGTGTAGGGCCTGCAAGAGGCAGCCAATCAATGACTTTCTCATCATTGATATTTCTCTCTCTCTCCCCCTCTCCATTCCTCTCCGAAACCAATGAAAAAAACCATATCAATTATTTAAAAAATAAAGAAAGAAGGATGAAGATGTCCACTGCTCCTATAGCCTCTTTTCATCCTTCTCTTCAGGCTCTGAGGAAGGAACTGAACATGAGATTCTGGGCTGATGGAAAGTCAGAACTTGACTGGAAAGGCTGAAATGAGAAGTGGGGCTGTTTCAAGGTCAAACTAGAAGTGATCCCAATGTCAAACCCCAGCGTAAAGAAAGGTGGTCTTGCTCTCCTACCCCCTTCCAGCCCCTCAGATATTCTCTATCCACCATAGCTCATTAAAGGACATGTCCCCTCCCCAGGACTGATCTCTCCTGACTTTTCTACATCCTCACACCCCATCATGATGCTCATTTTTAGAGATCAGAAAAACATTAAAATTGTGCCAATGCGATTACAAGCATCTTTCATTTATAGACTATTATGGACATGGCTTCCAAAGCACTTATATGCACAGCCTTGTTTTTATGAAGCAGGCAGAGCAAGCGTCACCCCCATTTTATAGATGCAGCAAACCAGACTCAGAAAGGCAAGTGTAAAAAATGGTTAGTGAGGAGTGGAGTCTGATCTCCAACCCAATTTGACTTACAATGTGCATTAGCTTTTAAGGAACAGGCATTCAATAAATACCTGATGACCCGAATTTACTAACCTGCTAAGGAATCACATTTGAATAATGTGCCTCTGGCTTTTTGAAATGATACAGATCTGCCAGGGCCTTTGGGTACAAGCCCTAAGAGGGGTCCACCATCTCCCTTTCTTTCCTATCTAAGGGCCATTTCTTGGAGGGACTAAGGGAGAAAAGCAAATCCACATTAGGAGCCATCAAGTCTACATTCAATTCTAGGCCAACACCGTTAAGCTGCTGTACCTTTCCAGACAGATTATTTAACCTCTCACCTGCCTCGTGTAAAATGGACAACAGGACCTACTTTGTAAGATTTTTCAGGAAGATTAAGTGAAATAATACATGCCAAATGTTGATCACAGTACTTAAACTTGTGGGCACATTTGTCCCCAGGTGGTTCTAACATACAGGTAGGTTAGGGAACCACTTAGTGCAATCAGAACTCAACGCAGGTCAACTATTGCCGTGTTTCCCCGAAAATAAGACATCCTCCGAAAATAAGACCTAGCACATGGAAAGATAAGACACCCCCTGAAAATAAGACCTAGCGCAACTTTGGGAGAAAAAATTAATATAAGACACTGTCTTATTTTCGGGGAAACAGGGTAGTACTATAAACCTCATCAATCAATATAAATGGAGAGACTTGTCAGGCTTACTTAAAGGGGTAGATGAAACCACAGGACTGAACACTGCCATCTCTTAGCCTAAATCAGTTATGGTAAAATTGAAGAAGTGGGGAGCTAGGAAGTGCTCATTAGAACGCATCTAAGGGTACATTTTTCTACTCATATTGCACCAGTGGTGGAAGGAAGCTACCTTTCTTATTCTTAAGTTTTCAATAATGGTAAAGACTATGTTGCCCCAACTTTAAAGTATATTAAGACTCAAAATGTTCAATCGTCAAAAGAGTATCAAGTTGGAATAAGGACAGGGGTCTAAAAGGGGAAAGGCCAAACATTTCATGACACTCAGAAGATGTTAACTGCGAGAGTTAATGTTTAAAGTCAGTGCCCGTTTCAAAAACACGGATGATGCCGAGAAACAGGACGTTTCTGAAGCAAGCACTGTGTGAGCTGCTGGGATTTACAAACGCAAGCGTGCACGGTGCCTGCCTACGAAGAGCGCACGATTTAGTAAAGGAAACCCTCCAGTCACACCCAAGGGTAAAATGAAAGAAAAGGTCTTAAAAAAAAAAAAAGGTCTAGGGGTTGCAAGGCACGGGCAGTGCCGGGAGCTCGGCCTCCGGTACCCGCCGGCGCCCCACGTGCCTCTGCAGGCCCGTCGATCCGCCCGCTTCCGGGGCCCGCCCGCCGCTCACACTGCAGGATGATCTCCTCGAACGCCTGGCTCTGCAGCCGGTCCCGGCGCCTCAGTTCCTCCGAGATGTGGCGCTTCCAGCGGGGGAAATCGGCCGCGCGGAGACCCGACGACATGGTGCGCGCGGCCCGGGCGCGTCAGCGCTACCGATCCGAGCAGGGACTGGCGGCCGCGGCCCGCAGCATGAGGCGACCCGCGGGCGCGGGAAGGCGGGCAGCCCCACGCTCACCTCCACCAGCAGGCCGCCCCCGGCGCCATCCGGGATGGTCTTCCGGCTCCTGTCGGAAATAGTTTGGGCCAGGACCGGAAGACCCGCCTCCTCGCCGACGTCTTACGTCACACGCACGCACGTGATCTGCGCCGACGCTGTTGCGCTCGTCAAGGACACTCGCCCGTGGCCGGAAGCACTGCGGGGAGAGAGGCGGCCGCTGGGAGGCGTTGGGGTTTCGTGATGGCTCTGCCCTGGCTGGAAAGGAGACCGGAAAGAGGCTGCCTCCGCTGGCCCGCCTACGTTTCCTCTGCTTCTTTACTCCGTTTTATTATATGTTTTACTTCTTGGCCTGCCTCCCTTTTCTTCATCTCCTTAGTTTACAAGCAGAAGTGGGGTCCGCATAGTAGCTGTGAAACTGGATGAATGACAATCTCCCTAAACCTCGGATCTGTAAAATGGGGATCGTTAATGATAACCTACCTCACAGAGTTGTCTTGAGTCTTAAAAGGAAGAACCTATATAATGCAGTTAGCACTGTGCCTGGCCCTAACTTTCCCTAGACACCCAGCCATTCCAAGGCCTGCCCAAAGTCTGACTGCTTTAGAGAGAGCATCCCCCTGACCTTGTAAGTAGGTGGGGTTTTTTTTTTTTTACAAGAAAGAAAAATGCAAAGAATAGTTAAAGGTGTGAATAGATTGGCTATGTTAATAATTAGAAACATAGAAATTATGGCCTAACTGTATATGGGTCCTTAGTTTGGAAGGTAAACTGAGACAGATAGGTAAACATCCAAGCAGTGTACAGCCATCCCTAAGTGGTAAAGTCCTACCTTCCCTACTGAGGCACTAAAGAGCAAGTGGTTTACACTTCTTCACAAGCAGAGGGTAAATAGCTTAAATACTCTACTCGAGGAAATAGGTAGCAGAAATTCAATTAATAACATTTGCCAACCACACCCAAGGACAGATGAAATTAAGGGGATAAATCTCATTTTGGCACATCAGATAAAACTGATGAATATTCTATTTCGATCCTTTATTAAGACCTTCCCCAAAGCAGTCTTTATTTTATTTTATCTTATTGTTTTAGGCTCCTTTTTTTAAATTATTATTATTAAGGTATTATATGTGTACATATCTTTCCATTGCCCCCCCCACTCACATACATGCTCCCCCCTTCCCCCCCGAGTTTTTTGTCCATTGGTTTTGCTTATATGCATGTATAGCAAAGCACAGTCTTTAATTTCTCCTGCGAGCAGTGTAAAGCCTTTCCTTCCCCTATTTCCCCCCCACTGGCATGCAACTCCTAAACTCAGGCTCTCCATGAGATTTGCAGCGGCAGCTCTGCCTGGGCTAATTTTCTAAACCTGTCTTCAAGCCCCCCTTGTCTCTGACTTATCAGTGAGCCAAAGCAGCCTCACCTAAGCTCTCTCCCATTGCTTCTTCTATCCTAAGTTCATCCTGGTTTCACTCTCCCCAGCGTTAATTTTTTGTTGTTGTTATTGTTAATCCTCACCTTAGGATATGTTTTCCATTGATTTTTATTTAGAGAGAATGGAAAGGAGGGAAGACAGAGAGAGAAACATTGATTGGTTGCCTCTGGCATGCACCCTGACTAGTGCCAGGGATCAAACTGCCCTTGACCAGAAATCAAACCTGAGACCCTTTGGTGGGCAGGCTGACACTTTAACCACTTAGCCACATTGACCAGGGCCCTGTCCCCAGGTTTAATAAACGTGCTCTCAAAATCATATGTACTCATGTTATAAAATCTTTCCTGCATGAAGTTAAGAACCCCCACATTACAGGCTGGCCCAAGGCGACCCGCTCTGGGTCTGGTCCCTTTCCGGTAACAAAGATATAGACAGGACTTTGAAAGAGAAAAAGAACTGTTTGCTAGATGTTGAAAGGGGAGGTGGGAGACACAGACTCAGGAGGAGATGGCATCTATCAACTCCGTAGAATAGAAAACCTCGGTTTGTAATCAAATCATCTGAACTTTACTTGTCTTTCACAAGTTGGTGAATTTAGTACATGAAAATGGAACTGGACAAAGTAAGGGACTAGAGGAGAGGAAAGGGATATTAGAAATTGGCTTCTCTTCCAGTGTGTCTTAGTCCAGAGAAAGATATTTCAGCAACAGATAAGGAAATCTTTCCTTTTCTATAGAGCACAGGACTAGGACAGTCATGCTTCTAGAGTTGTCACAAAAGATATTTTGTTGACAGCCAGTGCTGAGTGATCTGAATTTGAAGGAAGGACCCATGGAGATCAGAAACAGAAGGGACTTTCTCACACACTGAAGAAAATTAAGAATGAGGTTCTGAAAGTTTCCAAGAATGCCTTCAAATGTAATAGCCAAACCAACCTCAAAAAATCATAACATCACATAGCATCAAATCTTGACAGTTGAATATACTAATTTTCCAGACAATGTTATGATGAAAATATGTTAACAAATTTTCAGAACCAGCAATTCCACTTGTATAAATTGATGCCAATAAATATTTGGACTAATGTCCATATATAGAGAACCTTGGAAGAAATGGAGATGTTGAAAATAATCTATATTTCTAACAATAAGAGGTAAATGACTATTATATATTGTTTAAAATGTTTATAATAAAAGCAGTAGGTGGTATAAATCCAATTTATGTAAAATAAATGTGTCCCTGGATCCTCATCGACAATATTTTTTTTTTTAATGAATAGAGAATATAATTTCTAAACCAAGCCAATGACAGTTGGGAGTGGGCAAAGGTACCCTGTGCCCTGCTTCTGCAGGGGACACTCTCTGTTTTGTAGAGTATGTCTGGAGCTCCCCACAGGGCAGGCTGAGGTAAGATTTCTCCTAAAACTACAGTTCTGCCTAACTTCCTCCCCTGGCCTATCCTGTCTCCCCTGGCTTAACCTGATGCCCATATTGGGAGTATTTCTTCAACAAATCTCTTGTACAAGAACCCCAGTTTCAGGCTCTGCTTTTAGGGAACCCAGCCTAAGGCAACCCCAAGGCCAGAGCTTACCTGATTTGCCCAAAACCCAGCAGGGAAGCCATTGTGACTAAAGCATGCCTGCCAGGAAGTGTTCACCTATGGATTGGTTTGATATAATTCTGTTTAAGACATTTGGGAGCCAAGACAGCAGTCGCAGCATCTTCTGGGGCACCAGTGTAAGGGCTGGTAATGCCACATGTTGACACTCTAGATCCACTGGCCATTTTGCCACAAAAGGGTTGGAAGGCTACCTTCTCAGACAGAACTTTCTGTCTTTAGTAGGAAATCCATTTGCTTCTTTCCTGGGAAATTACTGTCTCCATCTGCTGTGGCCTATATTGTGTCATGCCCCCTCCCCTGCCCCCACTGTCTCCAAATCGATGTGTTGAATCCCTAAACCCCAATGTGACTGTATGTAGAAATAGGGCTTTTAGGAGATAAAGTTCAATGAAGCCATAAGGATGGGGCCCTAATCCGATAGGATGCCTGTGTCCCTTCCTAAGAGGAGTAAGAGAGACCCTCTTTCCTGGCCCTCTGATGACACTGGAGATAATAGTCATCTGTGAACCAGGAAGTGGGCTCTCACCAGAAACTGAGCTCTGAGCAGACCATCAAGACTACAAAACCATCCAAACTACAAATGTCAGTTTAGAAAATTTTGCAATTAGGTTTGTGAAGATAGTGTTTCTGATCCCATGGGGGAAACAGTTCCTGAAATGCCCTGCTCAGCTCCAGAGAGCCAAATCAGCATGTCCTTGGGCAGTGCTAAAGGACTGGAAAACCAGGAGCAAATCAGGATTCACCTTATTTTTCTATTTCATACCTAACCGTAAGATTGAAGCATTATAAAAGGTTTGAAAATAGAGACTGAGGGAGACTTTTCTTAGAGTTTTAATAATTTTCTTTGCAGAAGAATACATAAGTAATTTTCTTTTATACGTAAATTAATTCCAAGAAGTAATTTTTTTTTCATTTTTAATGTAAAATGCTTAACCCACCTTCAAATATCCTGGCAATGTAACCAAACTTATTTTTTTAAATTTTGTTTTTGTTAATCCTCACCTGAGGATATTTTTCCCATTGATTTTTAGATAGAGTGGTAGGAAGTCAGGAGGGCAACAGAGAGTGAGGAGAGAAACATCAGTATGAGAGAGACACATCAATTGGTTGCCTCCTGCACGAGCCCCAACAGTTGCTGAGGATCAAACCTGCAACCCAGTCATGTGCCTTTCACTGGGAATTGAACCCTCAACCCTAACCACTAGCAACACCCTCGAGGGGTGTAACCAAACTCATAACATGCTGTTAGAAAGAATAGCTTTGGAGATTGGAGGCACGGTTAGGAGACTAGGTTCTCGGCCTTTCTTGTGTGACTTTTGCCAAGTGCCCCAACCTTCCTGAACCTTCATTTTTTTTCCTCTATAAAAGGCACTAAGACCCAGCCTATGGGGTAGTGAGGATCGAGTATAGAACACATACGACAATGCACTTTCATTTGGCACAAAGACATTCGGTATTAGTCCTTCTCTGAGCAATCCCTGAGATAGGTAACCTGCTAGATTTTCAAATATTTGCCTTGTTTGTGTTTGTCATGATCGAGTCAAGAGAAGTTGAAAAGCTCAAAGAACATTCCTTAATTTTAGATATATACCTGCCTCCCGGCCATTGCTGAAAAGGTTGCCTAGGCTGGGAGTCTGCTCACAGGTAAGGGGATGGGCAGGTACATATAAGAGAGAAGGAACACCTCCAGGAAATACGGACTAGTTAGTCCGTAGCTAGCTACATCAGCATCATCTGCATAGCTCTTTAACATGCTTGTTCCAAGTTTCATATCACCCCACCAACAGAACTACTGAATCAGAATGGCCCCAGAACCTGCATTGCAAAGGGGGCACCTTGGGTGATTCTGTGGA